GCCTTGTGCCAACGCCTAGGAAGCAACACTTCTAGTAGAGTGCACCCTCAACCAGAGCGGGCAAGGCACCCCTTGGATTTTGGATTTGATACGCCAAAGCAATAGCATCCACTATCCAGTGGGCTAACCTCTGCTTGGAGACAGCCTTTCCCCTTCTGCTGGCCTTCGTAACAGGCAAAGATCTGGTCTGAGGTCCTGAAACTCTGCGTTCGGTCCACGTACAGGAGCAAAGCGCGGACGGGACAGAGCAAAGCTAGGGCTGGGTATGCCTCCTCCAAGGGCACCACTTGCAGGTTCACCACCTGGTCCTTGAAAGGAGTGATGGAGACCTTGGGAACATATATGTAATTCCAGGCACGATTTGTTGACCGAAAATGTTTGCAGGTCCCCTACCCTCTTGATGGAAGCCAATGCAACCAGGAGAACTGTCTTCATGGACAGAATTTGTAACTCCACTGACTACCGAGGTTCAAAGGGGGATTTCTGCAAATGCTGGTAAGCACCAGAGACAAGTCCCAAGAGGGTATAGAGTGAGGGCGAGGAGGATTTAATCTTCTTGCCCCCCTCAGGAACCTGATGATCAGGTCGTGCTTTCCTATAGATTTACCTGCATCGTGATGTGCGTCAATAGCGGCAACATACACTTTGAGGGTGGAGGGAGACAGCCTTCACTCCAACCCATCTTGCAGGAAGGAAAGCGTATGCAACCCTGATCGGGCATTTCTGGGGTCTTCATGGTGGGAAGAACACCAATCAACGAACAGGTTCCACTTCAATGCACTGCCGAAGTGATGGGGTCTACCAATGCTTGGGGCCAGTCCACCTAATTCCTCCACGTCCCGTCCAGAGACCAGATGTGGAGATTCCAGAGGTCTGGACTCGGGTGCCATAGGGTGAGAAAGCAGGTCCTTCCTCAGAGGAATGCGCCAGGGAGGGGCTGACGTGAGGAGCATCAGTTCAGGGAACCAGGTCCGATATACGCAATGGTCGCAGTGCTCAGCCGAAGTAGCCCTTTTCTGGTGGCCACCAGAAGAGGTACTAGATCGGGGGATAGGCGAAGGGACTCCACCTCGTCTGAGGTACTCGAGCAGGGTTTCTGCAGGTTTTATGACCTTTTTCTAAACTTTTTTCTAAATTTAAGACCTAAGACCAGTTAAAGAAAATTTAAGGAATTAAATTGAAGGGAAAATATTGACACGTCAATATGTTCTCTAAATGTAAATGTCTAGGAAGCACTTAATGAGTTGTATTAGCAACACTTCAAAGTTTGAAAATACAATTTCCAACAGATTGCCATTACTTTATAATTAATAAAAAAAATAAAAAAATAAAAAAAAGCTTAAAGTTGTAATAGCTTTGCCCCCAAACACTAGATTATGGAAATAACTTTTACAGTACCTTCTGATCACACTATAAGTGATGTTCTTTTTCAGAAGTTTTATCAGGGGCGACAGTGGCTCAGTGGTTCATGTAGGTTGTCTACAAACCGGAAGGTTGGTGGTTCAATCCTCGGTTCCACCTGACCAAGTGTCGAGGTGTCCATGAGCAAGACACCTAACCCCAGCTGCTCCCGACAAGCTGGATGGCGCCTTGCATGGCTGACACCGCCGTGAATGGGTGAATGTGAGGCAATATGTAAAGTGCTTTGGTGGCCATTGGGTCTGTGAAACTGCTATATAAATGCAGTCCATTTACCATTTTACCATTTATCTTGTTTTCCAGTGCAAATATCTAAAAGATTCTTAAATCAATATCCGTTATCCATTTTGAGAAGCAAAATTACATAAAATAAGAAATCTCGTGAAATCTTGTGTCATATTATGATTAAAACAAGAACAAATATCTGCCAATGGGTTCAGAAAAATCAACTTAATTCAAATGAAAAAGTAATTTTCATACCCATTGACAGACACTTGTTCTTGTTTTAAGCATAAACTGACTTAATTTTGTCAAATTTCTTCATTTTGCATCTCAAGTAAATGTACCTTGATTTAATTAAACAAAAATCCTGAGGAAGATATTCATTTTATTTTTTGCAGCGCATGCAATTTAATTTTGTAATTTATTTTAGGGCCCTGTTAAATCTGAGTCAAAAAGAATGTCTAATTAATTGCAATCATAAAACATATAAAACTTTTTGTCAACAAACACAACAAACATTTTTTTAGGGCCGTTTTATTTTTCCTCAAATTCCGTTTTATTTTGACCAAATTCTGAGTTTTCCATTTTTGGGTGAACTATTTGCTCACATGAGGGTGAGTAAACTATGACAGTTTTCATTTTTGGGTGAACTATCTCTTTAAGTGTACAGACCGCAGGGCTTGACATTAAGCTTTGTCAAGTGCTTGTCAAGTGCTTGGTCATTCACTTGTCAGAGTAAAAAAAGCTTGTCTGGAAAAAATAGAATTTTTTTTGTTTTGTAAATCTAATTTATTCTGAAGCAATATTCTCAGTGTTCTATCAGCTTTGACATTTAAATCTGCATTTTTGTGATATTTAACCGGAGGGCTTTTTTTTTACCTTTATAAATGTTTTTTTTTCTAATCTTATAAATGTATTAAATGTAAATTCTTAAATTTGATCTGAAAAATTACAACTGCATTAAACAATTTTATGATATTGTTTTGAATATTTTTTTGAAAATACAAACAAGAAATGTTGGGAAAAAATTATAAACATTAAACTAAACCACTAGTAGATGGCGGAAATTGACCGTCTTAATGAGTGAGTCATTCATTCAAACGATTCGTTCAAACGGCTGATTCGTTCAGTAATGAAACGCATTGACTGTGAGATGCGCTTTGGTTCTCCTGTGATCCTTGTTTGGAACTATTTTCGATGCTGAAATATAACAAAAACAGTCAATATTGGAGGAATTTGCATCTAAAATGTAAATGACTTCAATTTTATCTACTTCAATTTTTTCTACTTTGCCTCAATTTTATCTACTTTGAACTGTCGTATGAAATCAGTATGAAAACTGTCGATGTTTAATTGTTTAACTGTATCATATATTATATATGTAAAAATTCGACATTTTGATTTTTTACTGCAGTATGTTAACAGAGGCCCTGTTTACACGAGAACGCTCGCGGGTGAAAACGTAAAAATATTTTATCCGATGTGCCTTTCGTTTACACGGCGATGGCGTTTTTGGGGCTTAAAAACGCAAAAAAGTGAAACCACCCTCCAGAGTGGAAATCTTAAAAACGCTCCAAAGACGTTCCCGTCTAAAGGGTAAAAACGCAAAAGTCTGCTAGACAGTTAAGGTTGTACGCAGGCGCGCATTTCACATTGCCACCTAGCAGCCTGGAGTGCATACTACATCGAATTTCACACACTTTTGCGTCACCATATGCACGCAGATTTCCCACCCATAACGCTCGTCTAAACGCAGAATAAAAAGTGATAACGCAACGCCAACATTGTTACAGCAACATTGTTACCGTCACCTCAAATGTAATAAAATCAGAGTAATTCACGCAGTTTGGTGATTCACTAGTTTGTTTGTTTTCGTTATTGACATTTTAATCAGGCTATATGTCTAGTCAGGCAAGTAAAACTCTCTATCACTTGCCACTTCAATATATCCACTTATCCCGGACAAGCGGCAATGTCGAGCCCTGACCTACTTTTGATTTATTCATCCAAAAGTGGACAATTAGGGGAATTCCATTAGGGGAAAGTTTAGAAAAAACAAACAAATATAGTCTATTCATTCGCCTATTCATTATTTTTCTCACATGAATAGGGTAAACATTTTTACCTTTAAATATCACCATGAAAATTACTGAGTTGATTACTTACATCAAGACAAACAGAAAATGTATTACAAGTTTTTTGAAATTGTTTGTTAACATGGACAAACAGTGCATAATCTAATTACATATGTGCTAATTTGCATAAATACCACAACAAATCTAAACATTGGGTATAGAAGGTGAATATGTATTGTTGAATCTTGTTGACATATAACAGTAAAAAACTTAATGTTAAGGTCTGAATGGAACCCATTACCCATGAACATTAATACATAGAGGCAGGAAGAAGTACTTTAGAAACCAGCCTTTATTAATTATTATTAGCTGGGGTTTGGGGCTGGGTCAGTGGGACTGTTTCTGGGGGATAAATCTGAGGGAAGAACAGAAGACATGGGTAAGGACTCTGAGAATGCAGAAGACAAAATGTAGGTAAAATAAAAAGTGTCTGGATCAAAAAATCTAGTTACGTACACAATGCACTCAATGCCCAAACCCCATCTCTGCAATAATAATGAATAAAGGCTGGTTTCTAAAGTACTTCTTCCTGCCTCTATGTATTAATGTTCATGGGTAGCCTAAATGTGTTCCATTCAGACCTTAACATTAAGTGTTTTACTGTTATATGTCAACAAGATTCAACAAGACATGTTCACCTGCTATACCCAATGTTTAGATTTGTTGTGGTATTTATGCAAATTAGCATGACATGAGGGAGAGTGATTTAAGCAGTGTTACCCATATGCCATGTCTACCTGGGATGAGGGGTTAAATAAACCAAGACCTCTGTGTTTAACTGCAGGCTATCCTGGTGTTTGTGGCTTGTGTGTGCGAACCCCTGTAGGTCTCTTAACGTCTGAACCTGCCTGCCTGGATTAGTTGAAGGTCAACATTTTTTGATTGTTATCTGCCCTGTGTGAGATGAATAGCTTCCTACAGCAAGTGTCCCCGAGGGGCAACACTATCGCTCCACCGTTTATGGTACACGAATGATCAGCCCCATAAAAAAAGCTGTCTTAGACATCAGTGGAGGTCCAGAGTGAAGAGAACAAAGTTCCTAAAAATAAATTAAGCTAAGCGTTTCACCCATCACTGGAGTTAATACATGTGTTCACAGAATTCCCAGGGTTGACCTGCTTAAATCAAACTGGACACGAGGATTGGGATGTGAGATTCCTGGTACCTATTTGCAAGTGTCACCATAAATAACATAATGGCGGACAGACTCTGGAACACACTCACTTGTAGGCTTGACGTACACCTTCAGTTTCAAACACGGCTTCCCACCAAGGTTGGGGTGTGGTGAAGCTGTGAAGAGACAGAGAAAGTGAAAATTACAGTTAATGTTCCTCACATAAATCTATGTGACTTGACATGATTTAGTTAGAAATGGCTTAAAAGTACATGGGGGACAAAAGTACATGTAATTTTACTGTTTTTACCTAAATCAAAGCAACTAACCCAAATCACCAAGTTCAACCAATAAAGCACAACACTGATCATTGTGGAAGTACTTTTCCTGATTCATTTTTTAGGGATTTAATTTTTTTTAAAGGGATCTGAAATTAATTAGTGTTATGAAGTCTAAAAAAGTAGTGAAAATCAGACCAAAAAAAAGTGTAAATGTCTACATAACTTATTTTAAAATACTACTTAAAATACTATTTAAAAACTACTCATCACACCCTGCAAAATGACGTAATGACTTCAAAGACTTCCAGTCCTTTATTATAACTATTAAAGTGATGGGGTAAGATGCAAAATCTCATCTCAACACTTTTGATAAATGATTATGCTATTTTTAATTTTGTAATTTTATCTGAATATCAAAATTTGTGAGATTTATTTAGTCAAAACTGTTTTGAGGTTAATTGTTCTGTTTAACTGAACAGTGTGAAGACTTTAGACACTTTATGTTCTTGCATTTTTCCATGAATGAGTGTTTATTTTAACATATTTACTGTTGGCTATGACTCATTTCAGGGCTGGCCAAAATTAACTTAAAATCAATCAGAGCTAAATGTATCTTCATGTTTATAAGTATAGCCTCATATTACGAGAAGGCTACTTTCTACAACCTTTATATGTTCACAGTAAGATTTGGTGAATATGTTAATATGATATATATATATATATATTAGGGCTGTCAGTTAAACGTGTTATTAACGGCGTTAACGCAAACCCATTTTAACGGCGGCAATTTTTTTATCGCGCGATTAACGGTCTTTTTGGCCTAGCAAACTTTGTAGTTTTTTTCACATGCTTTTGCAACAGGATGCGGCATGCGCGGCTCTGCGCTATGAAACCCATTCATTTCAATGGCTTGCGCAGCACGAGTACGTTCCCTTTCAAAAGCTACAATCGATGCTGCCTGCTTAGCGCATTGGGAACGTCTTTAACCGTGACCCACTGTGAATATAGTGTGTAAACACGTCGATAGAATCGACCGGAAGTAATATAGCCTCAGTCGGTGACGTCATTGGCGGGTGCCCGCGCGCACCCGCGAGGCTATAAATAGATGAGCCGCAGGTGTATCGTCAGGTCTTTTGTCTTCAGAGACCTCTCTGTGTTGGTGTGCAAGCATCTATTTTCTCTCTGCTACAGATCTTTGTTAGGAGTTATTTAGCTTTATACCTGACAGTGTGCAGATTTTTTACTCTTTCTCATCTCTTAACGTCATTTAAAAGAGTTCAAAAAGCAAAAAGAGAAATGAGTCAGCAAGCTAAGCGCTGTGTCCCTCCATGTTCTCAACCCATGTCAGAACTGGATACACACGCTTACTGCTTTGTGTGTTTGGGGGAGGAGCATGCGGCCGCTGCATTGGAGTCAGGAGAGTGCGAGCATTGTGAGCTTTTCACTGTTAAAATGCTTCGCGCTCGTCTTGGCTACTTTCAGTCTGCACCCGCATTATCATCGTGGGGCTCCCGAATGGATTTGGCTGACGAGCAAGAGACGGGTCTGTCCCTTTCGCTGGCTTGTTCACCAGATCCACTCGTTCCCACGCGTGATCCCGAAGTGCATCCCAGTGCTTCATCGGCTCACACGGGGGACGATAATGAATCTCTTGGGTCTGCGGACTTCGAGTAGCCAACCTCTGAGTGTTCCTCGCGCGACGATAAATCTGTCGAGGAGCTTCTCGAGGTGGTTACTCGCGCGGTGGCCAGATTGCAGCTTGACTGGCCTCGTGAACAAGAGACCCCCAAACACAGTAAGCTTGAGGATAGGTTTTTGTCCGGTGGCAAGGGGGAGGGACCTCAACATCAGTCTCTCCCCTTCTTCGAGGACCTCCATGATGAGCTATCTAAATCATGGAGAAAACCACATACCTCTCGTGTCTTCGTGCCTTCGACGTCGACTTTTTCGACTATCGTGGGTGCAAAGGCGCGAGGGTATGCGGAGATGCTCCAGGTTGAAGAGACGCTCGCCAGCTATCTCTCGCCTGGGTCTGCATCTTCGCTTAAAAAAACCTCCCCTCCCCTCAAAGCCATGTAGAATAACATCTTCGCTTGTGGGTAAAGCTTACCAAGCTGCAGGTCAGACTGGTGCTGCGCTGCACACAATGGCTGTGTTACAGGCATACCAGGCTGACCTCTTGAAGGACCTGAGTGCGGGTAAAACGATAGATGAGGAAGCGTTTTCTGAACTGCGCCGAGCCACAGATCTGTCTCTTCGTGCTTTAGTTAGCACGGAGAGGCATCTGTGGCTCAACCTCACAGGCATCAAAGATAAAGATCGTGTCTTTCTTCTTGACTCTCCGGTTTCTCCCTCTGGAACATCTCCCTCTGGCCTGTTAAATCTCAACTCAAGACTCATCTATTTACCCTGGCGTTTAACACTCTGTAGTCTGTTTCCCTGTTTTCTTGTTATTATTATTGAGTGCCTACTGGTCTCGTTAGGTTTTAAGTATGTATAGTAGTTTTATATTTGTGTTTCTTTGATTCCTTGTAAAGCACTTTGGTCAACTTCGGTTGTGTTTTAAATGTGCTCTATAAATAAATGGATTGATTGATTGATTGATTGATTGATTGATTGATTGATTGATTGATTGGCGACTCGGTCAACTCAGTGGTCACCAGGTTCAGGGAGGTCAAGAAGCATGAGGAGGCGTTTGTTCAGTTCCTTCCTCGCCGCACTCAAGGGGAGGAGCCATCGGCCACCCAACCTCTCTCTGGTCCTTCAAGACCTAGGGAGGTTAAAAAGCAGAGCATGGCGAGCCGTGCTCCTCCTAGTAAGAACTGGAGACAGGCTTGTCAGGCTCAGCAACCTCCCAAGCCAGACCTCAGGACTATCATCAACAGAAAGAAGAAGTCCTGATGGTCTGGCGCCCAGTCTGGTGGGGCTAGCCCCCCGCAGGACAGGGCGCGTATTATATCCGACCGCCCCTTCTCGTTACCCCCACAAAACCTCTCCACCCTTTGGTGCTTCGGGGGGCAGCGGTTTCCAGCGAAATGTTAGTTGTTCCGTTGCTCCCTGCTTTCATCCAGGGCACGGAACATCTAACATCCCCTCAAGAGGAAGTATTAAAACTGATACCACTATCATAGAGTCTGGCAGCATGGTAACTTCTGCCAGGGATTTCTGTTTGGGTATTAAGCATAGTACAAATAGGATACAGAATCCAATTTATTCATCGTCCTCCGCGTTTCAATGGGGTGGTCTCCACTTCCGTAAGACCGGAGCTGATGCATATACTATCACAAGAGCTACAAACTCTTCTGAGCAAAGAGGCCATAGAACATGTTCCTCTGCCAGAGAGGGAGTCGGGCTATTACAGCAGATACTTCCTGGTCCCCAAAAAGGATGGGGGGTTGCGTCCAATCTTAGATCTTCAAGGCTTAAACCGTACAGTCAAAGCGCTCAAGTTCAAGATGTTAACCGTCAAGACGGTCGTGTCGCAAATTCAACATCACGATTGGTTCGTCACGATCGATCTGAAGGACACATATTTTCACATACAAATATTGCCACAACACAGGAAGTTCCTGAGGTTCGCTTTCGGGGGCGAAGCATACCAATTTCGGGTTCTTCCAATCAGCCTAGCCTTATCACCCCGCACGTACACAAAATGCATGGATGCAGCACTGGCTCCATTGCGACTCCAGGGCATTCGCATTTTGAATTACATCGACGATTGGTTAATACTAGCACAATCGCAAGAGATGGTGCTTCAACACAGAGACATCGTGTTGGCTCATCTAGTTTCTCTAGGGTTGAGACTCAACACCAAGAAAAGTGTTCTTTGTCCTGCCCAGAGAACGACTTATCTCGGAATCGTTTGGGATTCGATCACGATGCGGGCACAATTGTCCCCAACTCGAATCGAAACCAGTCGGCTAACTATGAAGAAAGTCAGGCTAGGTCAAGTTCGTACTGTTCGTCGGTACCAAAAGATGTTAGGTTACATGGCTTCAGCATCCACAGTGATTCCTTTGGGGCTATTGCACATGAGACCCTTTCAGTTGTGACTAAAAGCCAGGGGATTTCATCCAAGGGCCAATCCTCAAAGGCAAATAAAAATGACGCGCCGCGGGCTTCGTACACTATCTCTGTGGCTCAGACCCCGGTTCCTCGCCTTGGGTCCCACTCTAGGGGCGCCTTGTCGTCGCAGATTGCTAACGACAGACGCCTCCCTGTTGGGCTGGGGAGCGGTCTTAAGTGGTCGTCCAGCTCAAGGGGAATGGGAGGGTCATCAGCTCGATTGGCATATCAACTGCCTCGAGCTGATGGCTGTATTTCTGGCCCTGAAATACTTTCTCCCTCAGTTGAGAGGCTGTCATGTCCTAGTGCGGGTGGACAACACAGCGGCAGTTTCTTATTTAAATCACCAGGGAGGTCTGCGCTCACGCAAACTGAACAAAATAGCGAGGCAGATTTTCCTCTGGGCCCAGGAGAAGTTCCTATCACTAAGGGCAGTGTACATCCCTGGGTACCAGAATGTGGGAGCAGATTTACTGTCCAGACAGAAACTGCTGACGGGGGAATGGAAACTCCACCCAGAAGTAGTCGATCAGATCTGGACCAGATTTTACAAAGCAGAAGTGGACCTCTTCGCCTCCCATCAGACAGCGCAATGTCCCCTCTACTTCTCTCTTAGTCACCCAGCCCCCCTGGGTCTGGATGCAATGGCGCACATGTGGCCCAAAATGCGTCTGTATGCGTTTCCTCCAGTGGCTCTGCTCCCGGGAGTTCTAGCCAGAGTTCGCCAGCAAGGGTCTTGCCTCTTATTGATAGCGCCGCATTGGCCGAAACAGAATGTGGTTCTCGGAGATAATATCTCTCCTCAACGGCTCGCCATGGGCGATTCCGGA